TTGACAGTCACTCATAACATATTTAAGAAATAACAAAGTGTTTACATATAGATTAATATTTGGGTTCCATATATTAGTGTTAACATTGAGAGACACCTCTTACGTGGTCCTAAAAAATGTTTAAAACCAACAACTTGAAGACACAAGAGCTAATTATTCATTTCCACATGACTTGAAGCAGGAGCAGAGAACAGACAACACCGTGGTTAGGACTGACCTAGCACTCTTACAATGCTGTCACAGCTGGGGTTGCTATCACTGTGAAGACCATGACATAAAGCAACTTGGGGAGGAAAGGGTTTATTTACAACTCTCAGGTCACACTTAGGGTAGGAATTCAAGGCAGGAAGGAACCTTGGGGAAGGAACCCATGAGCAAAAGCTACTTATCAGCTTGCTCCCCATGCCTCGCTCAGTCTGCTTTCTTATAAGTACCTAGGGGTGGTACCACCCACAGTCAACTGGGCCCTTCCACAACAATCATTAATCAAGAAAATGGCTGCCAGACTTGCCTAAGGGATGAATGCATTTTCTCAATTGAGAGTACTTTTCCCAAATGACCCTATTTTGTGACATGTTGACAAGAAAATCAGCCAGCACATGTGATAACATGAATATAAAGATTACTTAAGGCTATTTTTAATCGTGCAGTTCCTCTTTTGATTGGTGATATCATATAATATGTATTCATAATAAAGGGTATGAAATAACAAATTCCATAATGAATATAGAAAAAATGGCTGCACAGGTTAATGAAGGGATTGTTTTAGCTTTATAAACTGGTACATTCAGAAGCTGGGATGTGAGATGAGTAGAATTTGAAAAAGTAGTAATTAGTGGTTTGGTTTGAATGAAGAATGGAATTCAGGACAAGGAACAGTAGAAAATAAAAGCTGGGTAATAAGAGTCTGGGATACAGGTTGGCACAATGAACTAAAAACAATAAAATTAAATTTAACTTGGATGAACTTCCAGTTTTGGGATGGCAGGGTACAAATATTGTTTCTCCCTTTCTTCTTGAAAACCACCCTCAAACAACTAGAAAACAACCTCTAACTTCAATGACTAAGAGGCATGTAAGAACCACAATGCTTGGAAACTGAAGAACAGAGAGAAGGATGATTGATGAGCTCGTATGACAGATGAAGGCCAAGTCCATGAGTCACAAGAGGGGACACCAGGAAGGAGCAGCACTTCCAGAAGCCTGGGATGCCTAGAACACATAAACACTGTACCAAAGGCTCAGGGAAGGCAGGAGCTCAACACATGGAAACGTGCTCTCATCAGAAAAAGTCTGAGACAGATCAAACTGTACCATTGCTGTGTTCAGGCACGGAAGCATAAAAGATGATCTAGAGTTAAGTCAAGAGAGTTACGTCTTTTCTTTCTTCCTTAACAAAACATTTACTTTTAAAAATATTTAAATAAAAAATTATAATGGCACTAACAAAAAGATTTTGAAATACTTTTATTAGATAGAGATCATTTTAAAAGCATATATGGTCTGTCTCTCAATTCCACATTCAGAGATTCCAATTCTGTGGGCAGAGCTATGAAACTGTATTTTATAGATTTTTTTTCATTCTGAAAACGAGCTCAGAGCAGACTATCATAGAGGGTGACCAAGGAAGCCCTCACTTAGAAACTGTTTTAAATGGAGATTTGAAGGAAATAGTGAGCAAACCATGCAGCTACTGGGGAACAGCATTCAGGCAGAGAATGGATGATGTGAAAGGCCCCAAGCAGGAGATTGAGAACACACTTAAGTCAAGGAACATTCCAGGGCCAGATGAGCTGGAGCAGAGAGAATGAGGCTGAGCTCAGAAAGGCAACAGGTAGTAACTTAGAGAGGACTACCTCATAGGCCTCTTAAGATCTTAGACTCTGGTACCTGGTGAGATGGTAGGTTGTATGACTAGAAAAAAATGGTAAAGGATCATGACACACACACACACACACACACACACACACAGAGAAAGAGAGAGAGCAAAAGAACTTATTTTAAGTAATTAATAACAAAAATCAAAACTGCAAGTAACTTTTGGGAGTGTTAGCTGACTAGTCATGCAATCTCATAAGTGTTTAGTAAACATCGGTGACACAAGTGGACAGAGGCAGTGTCCCACCTTGTCTGCAGGAGCTCTGAGACATGCCAGGCAGGTCCCGACCTACATGTCTGCAGTAGTGCAGCAGTCTGTCTGATAACTGTGATGACTAACAGGATAGAGAGCTCGTGTACGCAATGAACGCAATGGACAGGGGAAGACTCGCTCTCCAGGGAGAAGGCACAGAACTTAACTTAAGACGCATGAACTGTTTATTTATGAAAACTTGTGTCTCGTGTTTCCAGATAGCAGTTGACTGATGACCTGCAATTGTGGAAAGCGGCACCATGGACACAGGACTGCTATCGAGACCTAAATGAAAGGTTTCAGAAAAGCCAAGTCCATTTTCTCATTTCTTATGTTGGTTAGGTCAGAAGACACTGACATAAAAAGCTTTTATGTGTCATTCTGGAGGCTCTTCTTTCTTATTTGGAGAGTCACATCGTTTTTAATATTTATCTTTCAAGTATAATCTTTCCTGGTTTCATTATTATACACATTATTATATGCCCTTCCTTATTCTTGTTAAAAAGTTATATTCTTTTTTTAATTCAGAAAAGTTTATTACAAAGTGTTCTCATATTTGTTATTTGTCATAATGGCTATAGTGTTTTTAAAATTATTTTACATCCCTACTGCAGTTTTCCCTCCCTGTTCTCCTCCCAGTCTCCCCCCCCCATGGCCTCCTCTCTGTGCCCCCCAATCCACCCCTCCTCTGTTTCTGTTCAGGAAAGGGCAGGCCTCTTATATCAATAAAGCATGTCATAACAAGGTGCAGTAAGACTAAGCATCTCCCTACACACATATTAAGGCAACCCAATATGAGGAGTAGGGTCCCCCCAGGCCAGCCAAAGAGTTAGAGAGACAGCGCCTGCTTCGACTGTTAGGAGTCCCACAGGAAGGTCAAGCTACACAACTGTCCCATATGCGTGGATGACCTAGGTCAGTCCCATGCAGGTTCTCTAGTTGTTGATTCAGACTCTGTGAGCCCTTTGGAGCTCAGGTTAGTTGTTTCTATGAGTTTTCTTGTGATGCCTTTGCCCCCCCCCACCCACCCAAGCTACTATAATCCTTATAGGATTCCCGAGCTCTACCTACCATTTGGCTAGGGGCTCTCTATATCTGTTTCCATCAGTTGCTGGATGAGACCTCTCTGATGACAACTGGGCTAGGCACCAATCTATGAGTACAGCAGAGGGAGCTATTTCGGGGTCAGGTAGAAACCTGGTACAAGGGAAATTCCCAGGAATCTACAAGAATGACCCCAGCTATGACTCCTAGCAATAGCAGCTAGGTAGCCTGAACCAACCATCTCCTGTGACGAGGCAAGACTTCCACTGAAGTGATTAGGACACCAACCTAGCCACATAACCATCAACCTACAGTCTGTCCTGCCTACAGGATGTGCTGGAGTAAAAGGTTAAGGGGGGTGGCCAACCAATGACTGGTTCAGCCTGAGACACAGGCCACTAGAGTGAGCCCACCCCTGGCGCTGCATGGAAAACCAGGACCCAGAGACCTAGGATAGAACCAAACATGCCTGGAGAAGGAATTCAATGTAATAATGTCTAAATGTTTATACATTCTTATCCCAAAGTCCACCTTACACCTGAAACCTAGAGGTCAGGACATTGACTGTCAATGGACCATTCCAAAGCAACAGATCTGCTTCTGATACAGAGGAGAGAACAGGCTGACCTAAAGTACCCAATCTGCTCTCTGCTCTCTGGCGTCAGACAGCAGTATTTGTCCTGAAGTCTTATTGGTGGCAAACAATGCCACTAACTGTGAAACAACTTATTCTTTAGTCTATAGTAATTTTTATTTGCTCCTGATAACAAAATATTATAAAAGCATTAATTTCTCTCTCCCCATTAATTTTTTTCTTTTTCGTTTTGATTTTTCAAGACAGGGTTTCTCTGCATAGCCCTGGCTGTCCTGTAGACAATGCTGGCTTCAAACTTAGATCTACCTGCCTCTGTCTCCCAAGTGATGGGACTAAAGGTGTGCATCACCACTGCCCGGCTTATTTTTTTTGATTACCAGAAGAATAACATTCTTTTGGCTCTTTCAATTATTTGCAGTAGGGCTTTCTTTAGATATAGACGTAAATTTACTTCTGTTGCTATAGACAACCATACATATTTTTTCAACAGACCATGTATAATTTCTTAGAAAAACATAAAGGTATATAATATTAAAATTATTTTCTTATGTACCAAGAGAGCTGTGTTCTTTTTGATAAACCAAATCACTGATAAATGAACATCAAAATGGAATATATTTTTGGTTGTGAGCCTAGCCTTTAACGGCTGAGCCATCTCTCCAGCCCAATAGAATATATTTTAAAACCATATTTACACTAGCATAAGAGAATCAAACTCAAGTAATGATTTACCAAAGGAACAGCTTTCTTTAATTTTTATGACACAGCCAAGATTTCAAATAAAATAATAATGATAATGGCACAAATCTACACTAAACTGTTAACCTATGTCAACTTGAGGTATAATTGATTTTAAACTTCTTAATTTATTTACTTTTGTTTTATAAGTATTAGAGCTTTGCCTGCATGTATGTCTGTATAAGGGTGTTGGGTTCACTAGAACTGGAGTTACAGACAGTTGTGAGCTACCATGTGGGTGCTGGGAATTGAACCTGGATCCTCTGGAAGAGCAGTTGGTGCTCTTAACCACTGAACCACCTGCCCAGCCCTGTGTAATCGATTTTAATGGGAAAGATTGGAGTTCTGGTTTCTTCTTATGAATGCATTATTAAGTAGGAAAGAAGCAAGAGACTAGAAAACTTAGTCATTGAGGTTAGCAGTTTTCTCAGTTTGAAAAACAATAGGGAACTCTCCAGGGTTAGACAAAGAAGACAGACCAAATCAGCTTACCACTTGGACCATCTTGAGGTATCTGGCATATCTTGGGTCCTTGGCTACAGTTAAGATATTGTCTGATGAAACTTCACTTTCCTGTGGTCCAGAATCTTGTGTACTGTCCTGCTGTAGAGAGTTTATGGAAATCTTTAAACAAATCACAGGAAGCATCTATCATGTGTCTTAAAAGGGACGTTTATTTTTATAAGGCAAAAAAATCTTTTACAAATTATATTCTTATATTTAAATAGCAATAATTTAATTATGGCTAATATGTTTCTAAGTACCTATAAATACTTACAAGCTAAATTTATATCACTAATACATGTTCCTTAAAATGCAAATGTATTCTTGGCATCAGAACTTTCAGTTTTCCTTTATTTATCCCATAAAACATGATGGGTGGCTGTATCAGGAACCTAATAAAATATTCTGGTTTTTCAATTGCTCAACTAATGGACAGTGAGTTACTTTTCTAGGTATCTACCACATGTCCTATTGTCCCCTCATTTATTAAGCCATCATATTCTAAATGGACATGGTGATTCTATGTTTTTAGAAAGCAATGCTCAGAGATTTCTCGGAGAAAACCAGATTCTTTGGCTTTGTACATTTCATATGCTGATGAGCAGTTATTAATGGTCACAAAGTTGACAGAGTGGCTAAAATACTAAATATTAGTTTTAGTGGCACTGTACAGTGCTGTGTTACCAGAAGCTTGGGGACAGGGAAGCCCTGTTAAGTGCACTGTGAAGACTCACCGGCACACAGGACTTGGTTTCCCTACCAATCTGAACACACAGAATAAACTTATTTTTTGTGACTTTCAGTCAGCGTTGGCATAATGCTGCTACAAAGAATTTCTTCTGCAGATGCCATTAGTCTTAGGTCAACGTATCTATGCTACAATGTGGACAAATTACTATTTCTAAAATCTTTAGTCTTAGCCATGTGGTAGCAGCATACTCCTTTAATCCTAGTACTCAGGAGGCAGAAGAAGGTGGAGTTCTGAGTTCAAGGCCAGCCTGGTCTATAGAGCGAGTTCCGGGACAACCAGGGCTACACAGGGAAACCCTGTCTTTAAAAGGAAACAAAACAAAAATCTTTAGTCTTTAGAATATGGACATAATTTATGTTTATATATTGAAGTTTTTCTCATATAATTTATATGTAATCCAAATCTTAAAAAAGGGAACTCTGAAGCAATAAAACAAATACAAATTGGTTTCTTCCTCTGTGATATTGTTAAATGCTACAAAAGTGGTTGACAATATGCATGAATATATATATGTACATATAAACATATATATATTCATCTGCAAATCATTTAAACACAAGTTCAAAACACTGCTAAACATAAAAAGAAAAATATTCAAGCATATTTTTAAGTCTGTATGCACAGCTCACTCAAAGCCCTGTGGAGCAATGAGAAGAACTACCTCCCAGTCTAACAGTTTTCAGCTTTCAGCTGTGACCTTGTGCCTGTCCATCAAGGCCTCACAGGTTTAATTATTATGCACTATCATACCTCTACTATATGAATGGCCCATTAAGTCTCACAATCCTTCTCTCAACTGCCTGTCATTTCATTTTCAAATTGATCTCAATCTGAATAACTAGATACTCTCCTGTGAGCAATGATAAGACCTGAGCCCTGAAGCTAAAGCTGCATAAAAGTCAGTAGAGAAACCTAAGGATTTGAACTCATAGTTTAGAAACAGTAATAAAGGGACAACTTTGTTATGGTTTTGTGTTGAGGCAGGGTATCGTGTAGCCTAGAGTGGCTTCCAATTCACTACATAGCCAAGGATGACCTTGAACTCCTGATCCTTCTGCCTCCACCTCTCATGTACTAGGATAGCTGAGTTGACAATAATAACCATGAAAATCTGCACAAGGCACTATTTAAGCCCCTTTCAAAGTATTTTATATAAAAACATACTAGTTAATGTCTATGAAGAACAAATGAGAAGTTGATCTCAATGTTAACATGCTCAAGAGTCATTTTCTCAGGCAGATCAACCAAAACTCACCACAATTCTATAAATGCAGAAAGGCTACAAAACTTCCAAATACTCTAAATGAATTAATTTACAACTCAAAAATTATCAGATGTGTAAAGGTGTTCCTGAAGCTGCAAATCAAGAAATTCAGGTGTGATTAGCAGGAATAGATATATGGGGATCTTCATGAGAATACTGAAATCTGCATCTGCTAGGAGTCTCCTATATACAGTGGCATTGTGTCTGAATTTAACTTACTCTTACCCCAGAGTGTGCTTTAGTCCATCTCTATATTACTTATAGTACCTTTTATAATGTTAATTGTCATGTTGTTTAAGGAATAATGACAAGGAAAAGAGTACAAAGATGTTCAGTATAGATGTAAATTCTTTTTTTTTTCTTTTTTCCTTTTTGATTTTTCAAGACAGGGTTACTCTATAGCTTTGGCACCTGTCCTGGAACTCACAGAGATCCCCCTGTCTTTGCCTCCTGACTGCTGGGATTAAAGGCCTGTGCCACCACTGCCTGGTTTAGATGTAAATTCTTTTTCTGAATACTCTCAATGTGTGTCTAGGTGAATCCCAAGATGCAGAATCAGGCATTGAAGACCAACTAACTCTATTTGCGTGATGTGGTTTTTCTGAGGATTAATGTATTCAACTATAAGAAACACTTAGAAGTATGCATGTATTGACACACAGCAAGCTTCCTTTGTCAGCCACTAACTTTATTAACAACATCATTTTGACCTAAAAATACTATATGAGAATATTTCTAGGTACAAATGCAATATTCACTTACAAATGATGTCTATCTTGTTAATATTACTTTAGTGGGTCACCAGAATTTTGGTGATTGTTTTATTTTGTATTTTAATACCTCACTGAGATGTGTATATAATGGAGATTTTTAAATAAATAGTAAAAAGCTTTCAATGTATAGAAGCATAGAGGAACATTATGGCATAAAAGCCAAATGTGCAGTGACTCTAATTAAGATGCTGATTCAAACAAATCAGCTTCAAAATTACACTTTTCAGTTCATTGGAATATACAGACTTTGGGTCTTGTTAACTTTGATATATATATATGTACACATTTCCTCTGAATGTGTTCTGTAGCTTTAGGTTTTATAATTTGACTCCTAAGAGTCTCACACTCAGCATCTTCCAAGGTCTAAGCATAGGGCTATGCAGCCCAACTAAGGTGTCTCCTGTAAATCAGACTCTTACCTGTGGCTGCTCTGAAGCGCTTTCAGAATGTGATTCATTTGGGACAGCAGTGACACTTAGAGGAGACACTTCAACTGTGACATCCTCTAGGCCTGGGATAGATGACAGCTGAGAAATGTAAATTAGTATTGGGATATGAAGATCATTTCAGTGAACACAAAATCCTTTTTACCTGTGGGTTCTTACTTCGCTCCCTTAAACATATAAAATTATGTAGGTTCAGAATTTCCATCTTTAATCTCCATGTCATAAACTCAAAGTGAACACCATTTGCAACACTTTTGTATAATTTAGTTGATGACTCTTTTTTTCCTAAAATAATCATTAAGGTTACAGAGTGTTTTAGTGCAGGCTTTGAGGGTATGGCTTTGGGGTCTGCCTACCTTTCTTACACCTCCATTTTTATTGCCTGTAACAAGGATGAGGAATGAGGAAATTTTCCTTATGAAATCATTTTTGAAACATTTTTATTAAAAATGACTTGCTAAAGAGGAGCACTCTGTAGCACATGGTATATGTGTGATATAAGTGTGTGTGTGTGTGTGTAGCTGTGTGGGGGTTAGCAAGCATGCGTGTGTACATGTGTGTGCATGTGATGTGTGTGTGTGTCTGGTCATGCGCTGGAGTCTTCCTCGCTGTCCCTTCACCATCTTCTGAGAAAGGGTCTCACTGACTCTGGAGAGCCTCCACTTGGAGGGTATCTGGATCCTCCTTTCTGTCTGAACTCAGGTCCTCAAGCTTGTACAGCAAGCATTTCACTGAGCCTTCTATCCAGCCCTCGAGCACACTTTAAGTTTCAATTATATGAGATATGTCTTTACATTTTAATACATGAAACTGCTCATTTTTCTTTTTGTAAAAATTTATCATTGAATGTTACTAAAATGTGCTTTTTTATTCACAACAAATGGGCATATTGTCAACATTCTGGACTAGAATGGTAGCATTTTAAAACAGAAAAGATAAGCATGTGGTTTTAGATTTACAAAAATCCTTCCTGATGTTACCTGGTAATATGATATGTATATCTATCAGATGTTTGCTGGCTGTGGGGATTATACTACAGCTGGGTAAATACTAAGGTTGACTCATCCACATAGAAACATAACTCGTTCTTGCATGGAGCACCTTAAAATTCCCCAGCCATTAAATAAGACACAGTTCTAAGAAAGGGTAGGAGAAACCACTGGTGACAGGGTCTCAAGCATAGAAGTCATTGAGTAGTGTTGACTGAAGACCGTGCTTTGCAAAGTGGCAGTGGCCCCAAAGTCACAAGAGTGTAATTGTGACTGCTAGAATATCCCCAGCATATTCAAGGCAATGTAGTCTAGATTTCTATGCCAGAGAAACAGTCACAGGCAACATACTTGTTGAAAGTTCATAAAGGACAGAGAAAGTACAACTGTACCTTTACTTCCTTATTCTAATGTGAACACAAATTTTTCCACTTAAATGTGTAGTAAGTATTTTGATCAATTAAAAAAGTTAAATTCACTTTTGGACAAACATATAGACACACAGACACTGAACACTTTTATGGAGTATCATGGTATGAAGGACAAAAATCACAAAAATACAGCAGAATTAAAAAAAAGCAACACTGTGTTTCTCCTTTATCTCATCAGGAAAAAACATTTACAACATTACACATTAAAGCAAGTTACAATTAAATGTGTCATTTATAAAAATCTCTAGGCTTCAAATAAATTTTTTCCCAAGTAACATGGGACCTTTTGTTTGTTGCTTTGTTTCTTTCATTTCTTTTTTAAAGAGACAGTCTCTTTCTGTATACATTGGTTGGTGTTGGCATCAAATTCATTATCCTCCTGCATCAGCCTCCTGAGTACTGGGATTATCAATATGGACTACCGTACCCAGCTTCTTGGCAATTTCTGATTTCAAACTGGTATTCTTCAGTAACTTTCAAGATATTTACAAATGAAAATATCAGATACTTTTTATAAATTTTGTTCGGGAGACACTTAAGTTTTATTCTAACTATTATATTATTGTGGCACTATTTCTACATTATAACCATTAAAATAAAATAATTTTGAGTTTCCGTTAAATAATGTGAACTAAGTAAAGGCTTAATTTGCTAACATGACATTTATATTGTACTTTTAATTGGCATAATAGAACTCTCAATCTGAGTTCATTTGAAATGACTAAGTTAGTGTTTATAATAAACACCATTCATTGCCTTGCAATTTTAATACATTTTAATTTTAAACATACAACGCTGTATCACTTCACAGATACATTCTAAATATGACTGAGAAAGATGGTATACATACAACAAAGTTTATCCTGTATTTAGAAATACAAACCTTTGCATCTAAAATATTGAGAGTTGTTTCAATTTGTTGAATACGAAGAGAAAGGTCTGCCAGTTTCTAGAAAAAATTAGAGACACAGAATAGAGTATTTTATTAACACGGTGAAAAGATTTGAAAGTTACAAAATGCATGACTTAAACACTTATTTTCCACTGTTTTCACAAGAGCAGAATAAGAACAGTATGTTACTAGAATGTGTCATAGTTTCTATATATGCACTTGTAGAAATGTTAACCTTCAACTTTCTTAAATTTGTCACCAGAGCAATAAACCACAATACAAACTCAACCAAGGCCAGTCTTTTCATTCCCAGGACCCAGAAAAGGATCTGGAATGTAACACAGCTTAATAACTACTTGCAAATGAGTTTTCCATAGAAAACAAGAGAAAGAATAAAAACTAGTCTAAGACAGCCTCACAAAGAGTCTACCTGTAGAAACTACTTAGGCAAATAAGCAAATATAATTTGGTCCAAATTCAAACTTCTCAAGTTTGAAAAGTAAAGGGGGGGGTGAGATGGGAAGATGAACAATTCATTTTAGAAAGAATTAAAAGGGAAAAAAAGAGTTCTAAAGAAGCAAAATGGAATACCTACTATCAAAACTCAACGTAAGCCAGAACAAAGCACGGCATGCCCTAATTCATTCATATAATTAAGTTATCCATCTGGCCCTAGGGAGACGGTTCAGAGGATAAAGCACCTACCACTCCAATGTGCAGACTTCAGTTGGCATCCCCAGCACCCACATAGAAACCAGGCAGGCATGGTGGCCCACCAGAAATCCCAACACTTGGGAAGTAGAGACTGGATTTCCAGAGCAAGGTAGGTGGTAGGACAAGCTGAATCAGTGAGCAGTGGGTTCATCAAGAGACCCTGCCCCAATAAATATAGTAGACAGTGACTGAGGAAAAGACCTGATGTCCGCTCTGGACCCTACGTGCATGCAAACTTGTACACATATGTACCCATACCAATACATGCAATGTACTACATTTACAGTCATCCATCCACACACATATATACTTTGACAAATAAAAGCTAGCATAATGAGGTACAATCCATAAGAACATTTACTGAATGCCTTGATTCTATACATTATCTTATTTTGCTATACATTCCAGAGGGTTAGTCATGGCAGCCACAACATTTTGTTTGCTACCTGGCATCATATAAAAATCCTTATTAACAGCAGAAACGTAATGCCCCAAGGCCATTTTGTCCACAATTAGGAGTACAATACTGAGTACTTAGTGCTGTACAGGACACTTGGTTGTTTTAAGCAGGATCTATCAGTGCTGCCTATGGAGGTTGCAAGCGGGATCACAGCAGCTCCCACCTCAGCCCAAATAGCTGGAATGGCAGGATATATCACTGCGCCTGAATCTCTCATCTGAAATGTAAATAAAAGCTGCTTTCTATTTTACCTTTCATTGTACTTTTGTCTCTCTCACCTTTGCCAGCTGAGATGAAGATGTATAATACTCCATCTCCAATCTTGGGAATGTTAACAAAAGCCCGAGTGGATTTTGGAGCAACAATATCAGAGGACAGAAGAGAAGAAGCTTCTTTTGGATATAGCAATTGTTCTGATTACTAAGATCCACAAGAGTGGTACATGAGTGAGACAGTACTCCAATATTATTTAACTTCTATGTTACATTTTTTACTATACTATCACACCCTTTTCTCATAACTGATGCAAAGTGTACAGCTATATAATACTTGTTTTTATTCTTTATTAAAGGTAAAGTGTATTTTAAGTTATGTGTATGTGTGAGTATGTGCATATGAGTGTAGGTACCCATGGAGGCCAGAGGAGGGCGTTAGGTCTTCCGGCGATGGAGTTACAGGCAGTTGTGAATCACCTAATATGGCGCTGAAACCAATCCTGGGACCTCTGTAAGGGGGGCTCATGCTTTTAACCACTGGGCCATCTGTCCAACCTCAGAACGCTTACTTTTAAAGCAATCATCTGGAAACCAAACACATTTAAGTTAATTTCTGCTTTTGGTTTCCTTTTTTTTGATAGGGTCTCACTGTGGAGCTCACATTGGCTTCAAACTTTCAGTACAGTCCAAGCTAGCCTCAGTTTTCAGTGTCTTGTCTCAGTCTTCCCTGTGCTCAGCTTACAGCCTGTATCCCTGGGAGAAACTTAGTCTTAATGGCATCGATGCTAAGTTTAAGATTTGTTCATGGTGAGCTGTTATGTAAACATAAATACAAGTTATAAAACATGTCATGCTATCCAAATTATGGGCACATTCCTGAAAATCATGGAAATTCAATTTTGGCAAATTTAATAAGTTGTTTAATTCACTAGAGAAGAAATCTTACAACAAATTAATTTGTATAATGATAAATACCATATGTGAAAAATGAGCATATTGGTTGAAGAAAAATGAACATAAAGAGTTCAAAATTTACTATTTTATGTATGTGTGTACATACGCATGTTAGTGTGTATGTGAGAGTGCACATACATATGTATCTATGTGGAGGTCAGAGGTCAAACAGGCATCTTCCTTAACTGATCTCATTTAAGTTTTGAGACAGGGAATTCCCTGCACCTGGAGCTCTCCAGTTCAGTTAGATGGCCTTGTAAGAATGCCCTAGGAACCCTCCATCTGCCCTCCAGTTCAGTTAGATGGCCTTGTGAGAATGTCCCAGGAACCCTCCATCTGCCCTCCAGTTCAGTTAGATGGCCTTGTGAGAATGCCCCAGGAACCCTCCGTCTGCCCTCCCAACACTGAGGTTAGATGATGTGCTCTTCCCTGCCTGACTTTCATACGAGCTCTCAGGCATCTAAGTCCAGTCCTTGTGCTTTCATGAGAAGCATTTTATTGACTGAGTTATTGCTACAGTTCCCCAAATTAGGCTTTATGTTTTAATACACCCACATAAATATACACTTTTAAACAGATTTAATATTATAAATGTCTGAGCATTTGTGTGTGAAATACTGTGTCTGCAACACATCATTCAAACCCTCACACCAAGTCTATGAAGTAGGAATGACTTTGCTCATTTTAAGAGAACAAGAAACAAAGTGAAATTTCATACAAAGTGAAGTAACCTGAACCAAAGCACTTCAAATCTAGACTTGACAGGAGTTTGCTACAACATGATGGTAGATCCAGGGCCACAGACTGTTGTTCATTACCTAGAATTGGAAAACAATCAACCAGCTTCTCAGTAAGCTCTGGACTATACAGATTGGAAACCAAGATTTTCTGATTTGGAACATTTACTAAGGTGGATGCCATTCACCTGCAATTATTATTATTATTTTAAAATCAGTATTAAATGTTCTCATGATTGGAATATAAAACTAACTTGTCACTGAGTACTGAATGCAGGATTTACATAAGGTTGACTAAGAATGGAAAGACAGATCTTAGCGATTGAGGGGTAAAAATATCTGTTTAGAAATCTACCTACCTGAATAGACTCAAGATGCTTGGGAAAAAGGAATCACTTCAGAGCAATAGTTTTCTCCCTCTCTGTATGATTTTAAACTACTTTGGTACTGCCAGCCTTTCATTTGGAGCTCATTTTACCTACTTTCACCTGCCACCGTCAAAGCCTCAGAAGTCATGAATGATTTCTCTTTCAAGACATGAAAGGCACTGATAGCAACACGTTAGCTTGATACCTTTGATAACTGTGGGGACAAGTATTTTGAACAGTAGTCTTTTCCTTATTTTGGCTACTACTACCTATGCCAAAGCTACATAAACCATTGTATTGTAAACATAATTTCAAGAAAAAAAAGCCTTAGCAGCTTTATGGTACATTGATGTTCTAAAAAACCCCTCCAAATAATCTAGTTATTATTTAAAAACTCATGAAGAGTGCTGCACTAGGAAATGATTCTCACAATTCTACAAAACAACAGAAAATCTGAAAAACACATAACACCTGAGATTCTCAAGCCTGCTCTAGAGAAGGTTAATTAATAATCCGGTGAATAATGAGATGACATAACTTTACGACTATAAAATGACAAACATCTGTAGCCACATCTCTAAAACAGTGTTTTAAAGTAGATCCCAACATACTCTGCTGTGTTGTGTGTCTTAGAAGCCAGTAAGGGAATCAATCAGTGACTTCATTAAGCCACATAAACTCTTAAGCCTCCCCACTATTAAGATGTAGCAAAAACCCAAAAAGGGTTTAAGAAAGACATCATTTGTTTGAATGTTAAGTTCAATGTGGGCCTAAAACTTGGATATAAGAGATAAACACTATAAATTTGTTAAATGAGAATTCTCAACACCTTTGCCTGTATTTAAAGGTTTTTGGATGAAAAAGATTAGCAACGATTTAAAATCCAGTATTGAGTGTACCAAATCTGAGTCAAGATAAAACATCCACACATCTTGTTGACACAGGGATGTTGAGCCGGTGATTCATTGTAAGACAGTGTCTGCCTGAATTTCACAGCAGTGAGAGCTAGGTGGTGGACATGGACATTCTGCTGATGGGAGTAGGAACAGAAATGTCTGCTGGGGATTTGTAAAGGAAGAGGAGATGACCCTAAGCAACTCTGTAACTTGGGTCTGGTTCAACTGCTTTCCTTTCTCTTGCCTCTGGTCTCACTCAGCAGGCAAAGAATTATTTACAAAGTAGCCTAGTATGCACAAAGTTGAGTTCTTCACAACATAAAAAGGTTTTTTTTTACTATTGAGTTGAATTCTTTATAACAATATAAAAAAGAGTTCTATACTGTTTTCTTTAGCAGAAAACTCTTTTTTAAAAAACCCAAAATATTTGTTTCAAATTTAATCCCACCTTGAGTTTAGCTGGCTGAAGTGCCACAGTTATGTCCAATTTAGATGGGGGGGCCTTTCTCCCTGTACTTCACTTCTAATTAAAAACAATAGCTGATGCTCATTTTTTTTCTTTTAGGGAAACAGTCATTTTCATTCCTGTTAAGGTATGCCAAACAAGGCCAACAGGCTTCCCAGGGATTATTAACAGATTAAGAACTGTTCCAGAAAGCACCGTCGAGATACATATAAAATATCTTCAACAGTTTCTGTAACTATAAAGATTG